GAGACTGCTCTTGCCTAGTATGTGATGTGATAGCGATGATTCTGAGCGGGGTTGGAAATTAGTGCATCTCATCTCAAAATTTGTTCCGGGGTATGATACTGTGAAATGCGTACTGACACACACCTTGAAAACAGGTAGTGTGGTCCGATCTACCAGAGAATTTGGGATCACAGATATGCTGAAAACTTTTCAGAATGGCCGGACATTTGGACCGGCAGTAATAAAAAATTTGCCGGACCAAATGGATTTTTGTTTTGTTTTTCGTTTGAGACAGATACTACCAGTACGATTAGGGTAGCTAACTTTGTTTGTGAATGTGATAGTTTTGAAATGGAAGGGAAAAAACGCTTTGGGCTTTATATAATTTTATTAGTGAAGTATGTCGAAAGATGACTGTATATTCAAAATTGCAGTTCTTAAAACTCTTGTCGGTCCTTTGGACCGACCAAGTCCAATTTTCTACCGGTCCAGACAAATTTTCCCGGTCATGACCGATCAGACCGACAGTTTCAGCAATCCTAGGATCATTTGGTGCCGAGTCTGGTAGTTGGGCAGGTCTGAGTACTTGCTGTTTTTTTATATAGATTATACACCGAGATGTTATAGCAAGTACACTATCATTTACCATTTCCCCAATCCTTATAATCACTTCCTGACAATTTAATAGCTAATATACTAAAGGAGAAGTGCTGGTAGATAAATGAAAGTCGTTTGTATCAATTATGCTTTTTTCTAATAGGGAATTTATGGTGTGCTCTATATTGTGATTATATACTGATACAGAGATAATGACTCTTGTATTCATTGCAATATACATATAAGATAATAGGATACATGCTGCAAAAGATATGTTCTGTAAAAATACTGAGAAGTTCTGTAGGCAGATTGTAGTCAGTTGTCAAGGGGACATGATTATAGTAGTCTATGGATGTGCTATAGCCAGATAGGGATATAATACTGAACATTGCAAAGGTATAATCACAGTTTTTAAAGCATTGGTAAAGTTATTCTAAATGAATGGATCTATCCCAGTCTTCACCACCATATAGAGTGACATTCTCTTTCATAATCAGCAGACATGACTACAAAGTGCATAGGATTCTGATGGTATATTTTCGTAGAGCGCAGTTTATAGAGCCATGCAGCATATGTTGTACGTAGGTATATGCAGCAGAGATGGATCTATGAAGTGTTTATTGGACAGCTGAAGGCTGAAGAAATTGCAAACAGACTATTATGAATGATGAATACTGTACAAGGTGGTTACGTCTAGGATGAGGTAATTTCATGCAGGATAATCAGTACAATACTGGTATATTGGATTACCTTCATTTTCTGATAATAGAAAAAGGCCGTATAGATCTGGGACTAGAAAGAGCTGACAGAAAGGTTAGAAAGCCACACATGTACTGTAACACATCCAGTTTCTACAGAATTTTGAGCATGAAGCTCATGCTTAACTCCTTCTAAAATAAAGGGGGTTATTTCACAAGGTATTGTGTAAGGAAATAGGTGTCATTTTTCATCAAAAGTGCTAGAAGGACCCCCAGAAGTTGCGCTAATGTGATTCGACTATTTAATGAAAAAGAAAATGTGAAATGGCGTTGAGAGATGTAGATTTATCGCCTCCAGCAATCTATGTGTATATTAATTCAGGTGAAGAAAGGGTGTAGAATATCCATTATAGGAACCAGTGGTTTCTCTTGCTTTTAATAAACACAGTACATTAGGCACTGGATGCCAATTTTACCATTTCAAATGTTATTTGTATACTTTTATTTTCTAGTGAAAAAACAAATTTATTTGTTCAGTGTTAACTGAAGTCTCTTAAAGGTGCATAAACACTGCATCAGCAATAAATGAGAGGCATTTTTATGTTTTCATTCCCTTTTATCCATGTGCTGTATTTTGGACAAGCTGTGTTGTACTGGGACAAAGAGATAATCAAGAGAGCATATTTAGAGTCAACAAACAGAAACTGACACTGTTCAAATTGACTTTGTGGCACAGGGCACTAAAACCTGCAGGCAGTATGAATTGAAAAGGTGAAATTGTCATCCAGACTATATTCACGTACTCCATACTTCACCTCTCATGATCTTCTGATATACAGTAAAATCCAAGCCCATTTGTCTAAATTATCTGTGTGTTATGGGATTTTTTTTATAAATGACTCTTTTCATTTGTATATTATTAATGTTCCCATTTTCTAATCCATGCCGTGTTATGGCTGAAGCCTGCTGAGTTGACCAAAAAACTCATTTTACCTACCTAAACTTTAAAAAACTAGCTGTTTTTGACTACTAATATGAAACTTAATTAGTACAGTTATTTTGTATTTGTGTGTGGGCTAATCCATCAAAATTAATTTTTCGTTTTTTAGATTACAAAAAAATCACTTGACAGATTTGTGATAAGTCCTATTGCTACCTATCCAGCCCAGTGTTAATGAACCTGGTGATGTGCATTTCACTGTTGATTAATTAAAATCTGAAATAGGAACACACAAACTGCACCATTTGGAACATTCAAAGAGTTATTTCAGAAAAAAAATAATTAGTCATCAACATATATGTATTTTTAGGGAATAGAGACAGCCTATTGAAGTTCCCAGCTTTGATGCTTATATCATGTAATTTCCTGAGTGCCTTGCCTGTTGCATGTTAAATAGAGAGCTCAGCTGTTGTGCTGACCTAGACACAATTAGCATTTCATTTATATACAAGTATCTAAAATACTGTGGATTTTAACAGTTAGTACCTCCGCCAAGGATGTTGTGTGTTTGCCTTTGTTGTTTTGCTGGTTAACAGTATAATACAGAAAGTTAAGAACTTGAACAGATCCTGATAAAACTTTCAGGATAGCTTAGAAAAGGGTAACTTAAATTAATTAGATTTTGGTTGGGGCTCATTAATTAATTTATTTGTTGATAATTGTTAATCAATTGTTCTTGGCAGAGGTTTGGGCTCTACCTACTAGTACTTTTCCAGTTCATCATAAGATGGCTCTGTCTGTCTTACATTTTTAAGAAACCCTTTCTTTAAATATCTGCTTCACGTGAAATAATTTATGTAGCATTTACCACTGTTGACACAAAATAATCATAGGTGTCTGGTTCTATACAAGATCATTAGTTCTAAAGAGTGCTGTAGCCTGCAGATAAAGAATTGTAGTATATTTTACCAGGATGATATACGTCCTATCACCACAACAATGCAACTTACCCAGACTACCATATAAATTATAATATAGTGCACTGACAACCTGTAACTGTGGCCCAGCAGGTAATAAGGTGTGCACACCCAGGCAGTGTTCATAATGGGATTTCAGGTTTTTATGGTGGGAGGGGGTGGGAGGGGAGGTGCTAAGTCATCCGTTCATTATGTAATTTTAGTAAGCTGTAGTGCTTGTGTGCTCTCTCTCTCTCTCTCTCTCTCTCTCTCTCTCTCTCTCTCTCTCTCTCAGAACTAGGTTGTCACATATTGTCAGTGTCACAGGAGGTGGGATGTCAGGGGTTGTCAGTTTTCCACATGGCAGAAAATAGGTGACAAATTTGGAGTTGAAGATATTTTAATTAACTGCGGCAACTGTGCTGCCTCATTCTAAAACAATTAGCCGATAGATGTGCACCACCCTTGTTTTTGGACTAGGTGTACTAGAAGAGTCAGTAAAAGCTTTTACCAACCAGAACTATCAGGCCCATACCCAGGGATTTCCAAGGAAAAGGTGGGGTGGAGACTTTATCTGAAAAAATGGACTTTTTTTCCCCCATAGTTGATGCAACTTACTGTAGCAAGATACTTTTTGTGCTCTTGATTCATTTTTATAAACAATTACACAGACCTTATTTGAAAGATGTGATGGCCATCTCCTTAATGAATCCTTCAGTAGCAAACTTATCACTTTCTTTCTACTACACTGGAACTCTAAGATACTGGATTGATTTGACAGACAAGCAGGTGCACAAAAGGTGAAATATGAATTTAACAGTGATGATGATTGCTATCGGTTGCCTTCAGTTGCATGTAGCACTCAGTGTGGTAATAAAAGGTGAGAATAAATCAGGAGTTCAGGTGTCTCAAGGTACTGGGAGGGCATGCCATTACGCCACCCAGACTGAGCTGCCAGCAGGCCAGGTATGGGAATAATCTGCACTGTTACTAGCATTAGGTGGTTCATGGATTCAACATCACTGGGTGTGTTCACACAAGGATAGTTTTAGACCTGAAAGTCAGTCTTCAAGGTCTTATGCAAGCTACACTGATACAAATAGGACCAACTCTGGTCTAACGAAGTCCTTGGGTGAACAGATGCACTTTTATTTCTTCATTCATTATTCAAATATAACATGTAAAATTAATAGGATAATGGTGATAGTACTTTTTTTTTTACCAAACTTGTATATTTTGGAATTTATCTTTCTTTCTCTGTTGTTTTATTAAAGTCAAGTCCAAAGATTGTTATTTGTACACATTATAAAGATGCCAAAAATTAAATACAAGTGAGCTTAAATGTTTTAGAAAAAAAAAAAAAAACATTACCAGTCTAAGAGATAGCTCAAAGGTAAAATTAATAGCTACTAACTGTTAATAAGCTGTCTCAGGTGAAGAGCGTGTTTAACGAGGAGATGAGCCGGCTTAACGAATCATCCTCCCAGTGGTTTAATTACCTGTACTCATGTAGTACACATGTAATGGATGGTAGAGGGAAACAATTAGAAAACACTTAATCAACCTGTTCCCCCCACATGCCACCTTCAAACAAATCCCCGTCACCAAATTTAACTAATCTCTGGTAGAGTTTATCAGAGGTAAAGGATTAATAGATATTATGCTTTGTTGAATTTGCATTTATCACCATTCATTTAGCATTCTCTGGGCAGAGGCAGCCATCCTGGGGGTCTTATGAAACTATTTACCTGGCTGGATTAATGAAGTTAAGGCTAAAGTGGGTTTCTGTCACAGTAGGTGGTCGATCTCGAGGTGACTTTTTTAAAGTACAGTCCTGTGAGAGTGGTGACAAAATATTAATATTTACCAGATGGGGATGCACAAAGGGGTCACAGCTCCAGTCGATGAAATGGAATGTTCTTGTGTGGAAAGTAAAGGTATTATATATTTTTTATTTGTTTGCTGAAGTGGGAAAGTCAACTTAAAAGTCTCTCGAGTGTACCTATTCGTGCCATTTAAGCAGCAGAAGTATGTTTAGTGAGTAAATAGATTTTAACTGTGTACGTGCATGGTGATACAGAGTTTTTGTTTTCTGTTGTTTGATGAAGTAATATTGTTACCAATTAAAATTAAAATTGCCGTCATCCAGGCACCTTTTAGTGCTAAGACGTATACATACTACAGTGCCCCAAAGTGGCTGAATTAAAGTACAGTTTGTGATTGTTAAAAGTCTGATAGAAACAGTGTTTATATATAGACAAGGATCTTTAAAAATGTTATGGTTTGACTGTATTATAAAACACATTGAAAATTCTTGTTTTTTATGAATTCAGTGTGTCTGGCTAGATGTGAAAGTTAATTAACTGTGACACGCTATTATGTCACTGTGGTTTTTCAGCGCACTAAGAATCCGGATACATATATAAAATTTTTTCTGCTCAGTCTTAGAAAAATTCCCATTTTGGTTTTTTTTTCTCTCGCTCCTGTCATCTTTCTGGTGTATGCTATACTTATTTTTACTGCAGTAAGACATTGTTTCCAAGGACAAGGTAAGCAGAGAAGGGAGAAAGAATCATATATATTATGCATGATAAGGACGTGTTCTTTTTAATGACCTTGAAAGATAAAGGCATCAAAACCAGACAGGTGTTGTGAACATTTTGGTAAGTGAGGGAATAACATTTCTCATGGAGTGATAAAAAGAGCATGTATATATACCTAATAGGTTGATATGGAGGTTGAAAAGTTCACCATACTTCTGATAATGCTGGATATTAACAGGGGAATTGATTACCAAGATGAGGAAGCATACCTTAATTAATCAGAGCTCTGATGTTAAAGTTGCCGCACATATCTACCTGTAACCTAGACCTTTTCTTCTCATCGGCTCGTGAACCGAGTGGCAAAAGGTGATAAGATCGTACAGTTGACTTGTGTCGGCTTACATGAACAAACAAAACATAAAAAGCGGTAGCACACAGTTATCTGTTGAGAGACTTGTCATGAGATGAGAAACTGTTATCTAAGTAAGGCAGAGATAAAGTTTTTTAAAAACAGGACCGTTTTTCCACCACAGTAAACAGGACTTACTGACCCGACAAAGAAAAAGGTAAGAAAATGTTATTTTGATGATGAAAAAAAAAGTTGGTTGAGTCACCTCTTTGTGTGTTATGAAACATATTATGAGGACATGATATATTTATGGGCTGTTTTATAGTTCAAGTCATATCTTCAAATCTTATATGGATGGAAACTCAGACGTAGTGGTTTAGAAGGCCATGCTAAAATAATTTCAATTTTTGTAAATTATGCCATGACACAGAATGCTGGGAAGTCTGGCCAGAATGAGGTGAAACGGGCTTGAAATGCTGTTACTTCATTCACTTTGAAACTTGATATTTACTTGTTATGAATTTGTACTGGATTGGACCTTATCAGTAAGTTCTTACAGGGTTGACATCTTGGAGTAAGGGCATTAAAACTGCCATTTTAGATCAGGCTTTCTGTATTTTTTACTGGGACCTTTTCACTGTGTTAACTACTACATTTTTGTGAATGTTTTTTTTTCCTTAGGAGGAATAAGTAATAAATATGACTTTATGTCAGATAAAAATTATCATGCCATGTTTATTATCCACTTCCAGTCCTCAGTTAAGTTTATGTAATAAAAGACACCTGCAATATGAAATGTATGAAGAACAGTTTCCAAAATAATACATAGGTTTGAATTAAGTATGATTTTTCAGTTGACAAGTCATCATAAGGGTGTGATCTTTGTTGCATTTAATATTTATAAATATGCAAGCTTTTCCTAACAGCTGGTTACTGGCACATAGCACGCAATCCCCAAAACATTCTTTTTTAAAACCAATGTCAGGATTGGAAAATTGCTTTGTAAAAGGCTGAGCCTCCCTAACACAGGCAAGGAGATTAACCAGAAACATTGTCAAACATTTTGGCCTTGGTAATATAAAGACCACATAATCAAACATTTTACTGCAGTAATTTTTTTTTTGTCAGTATGTTTTTTTTTCATACTTATGTTATTGTCTCATGCATTGTAAAAGGAAAGAAAAGTTTTAGTTTGAAGCTCTATAAATTATGGTTTATGGATTGTTTTACATGCTTCTTTAAATAAAAAACAATAATAGTATTTAGAAAGGCTGTCTCTTGTTGACAGTTGACCAGTGTAATTGTGTGTTGGGCTTCAGTCTACATGACAGACTGACCTAGCCATGGACCTCTTCACAAATCTGAAGGCCAGTTTCCACTGGAGATAGGTGGGCCTTACGTAGTATGAACTATTTCAGCTCAGGAAATCTGGATATTATTAACTTAACATAGCAAGGCAATGTATTTCAATTACAGTGATGACAGGTGGGGCAACAGATAGATTAGATTGGCTTCTTATGGTGAGCTAATCACAATTCATTAGACTTCTTCCTGAGGTGGGTCAGACTGAGTGGAAACTGGCCTAAAGGAAATAGCCACTGCTTGTACCAAGGCAAGCAGTTGTTCCACACAGTGTAGTATAGTAGTGCTGGGGCCCATATGCCAGCTCTGGTTCTTCTCAACATGAAGTTTGGGGAGGCCAAACATGTCCGGAAATATATAACTAAAAAAATGGACTGGTTCAATTTTAGAATGGGCCATTTTATTATTATTATTTTATTATTGTGACCTGCAGTCCTATGTCTCTGCAGATATAATGGAAAAGTTTATATTTCAGCACACAAGGATGTATTCAGTCCATTCCTAGCTCCTGTTCTGTCTCTTCCTTGTTGATCGTGGTTTAGCTGACATACCCTTCCTATATTAGGTCTTGCTTACAGACAATGATATAATTATGTATTATAGTATGTATATTTTTTGATTGCATTGAAACTGGTGGGTCTTGTTCTTATACCATATGTTCTGTGTGTTAATATTCCTTTCTCTTGATTGCAGTTAAGCTGGTGAAGCGTCCGCCTGTCAAGCTGGGGTCCTCCGCTGCTCACAAGATGAGTGACGTGCTAGTCTGTTTTAGGTGCTGTGTTGCCGAGCAACCACAGCCGGTGAGTAAAGGCGTGTTCAAAGCTTTTTTTTTTTTTTTAATACGGAATCGGTTTGTGACTAATAGACAGCAAGGTTGTTTATTGTGAAACTTAATAAAATGTGATTGGTTCTCTCTGCCAGTTAGATTATTTCAGGTTTAAGTTAGACTGGTCTTGGAAGTGTGTGTGTGTGTGTGTGTGTGTGTGTGTGTGTGTGTGTGTGTGTGTGTGTGTGTGTGTGTGTGTGCACTCAGATGTCTGCATGCAAGTGTTGAATACATATTACAAATATTGCAGATAGACTCATTACAGTAAAAAGTCTAGCCTCTCTCTCTCTCTCTATCTCAAACTCTGTGTTAAACACATTAACTGTATTTTAAAAACAGTGCTGAATGTGTGCATGCAGGGTTAGTAAATTAAATGAGGGGCATTTTTTTCGGTATTGTTTTTGTAATGAGTTATCAACAGTTGTTTTTCGATACTTATAATTAGGATAAAAAACATAGAAAATAAGTGAAAGAGTTGTTCAGTTCAGATAGGTTCACTTATTTCAAATACATCACCCCAAACCTTTACATACTACCTTAATGGTAATTCCCTTTTATAGAATTTCACAAGAAAAAAATAAAAATAAAAAGAGTGAAATACAATTTAAAGGAAAGCATATAAATCAAATGTTGGCCTTGAGAACAAGAGTTTTTTCTCATCTACTGTAACTTCAAAGAGATTGCCTATGTGCTTAAAAATGTTTTTTCACTGACATTGAAAAATTTCAAAGCTTCAAGTTTCCCTAGATATTAATCGTTTTCACCATTTACATTTTGTTTTTCTTGATAAATGTCACATACAATTTTCAATATATATTTTTTCCAGAAGAGGCGTAGGAGGATAGACAGGAGTATGATAGGTCTACCAACCAATTTCCAACACACAGGACACATAGGATCAGGGGATGTATCCAATTTTAGCTCAGTAAGTGCTCTGATTTACTTATGGTTTATCAATTATTTTGAATTATGCAACATGATTATTTAGCCCATTCATATTTTTAAATTATTAAAAACTTTTTAATGAGACTGATAATATGTCTAGTGAAAATGTTAAAAAAATTTTAACGGATATCAGATATGTATGGTGTTGTTTTATATCTAATTGCTTATCTATAAGAGAGTGTGTGTGTACACGCGCGCGCATGTGTGTGTGAGAGAGAAATATATTAGATAACACACCAGGCTATTCTGAAACAATTCAGTGTTTTAAATTTGAAATGTGTGTCCTATTTCAGCCTGGGGTGAATTCCATACAAGGACAAATGTCGTCCAAGGGGGGCTATGACCATGTATCTCCTGTTAGTGTTCACTTAGATGTTAGAGATTTACAAGATGTACAGAAGTCATGAGGGTAAGTGGAGTTAGATACAAATTTAATAATATACATTTCATATATGTTATCACCTTTAAAAGAGTGGGAAATAACAGATGCACATTTAAGACTTGCACCAGCTCCATTTTGAAATATTCTTGAAAGGTGTTGTGATAATAATAACAATGATCTACAGTCTAGCTTAATAAACATTAATGCAAAAAGACTATAAAACAGTTAACTATTCAAAAAGACACAAAGAATTGATATTTTGCAAATCTATTTCAGGTTGCTCACTGTCCTTTGATGGATGATATTTTATAAAAGAAAACAAACTGTTCACACTGCCAAGCCCCCAGTGCTGTAATAAACCTGTGCCCAGATCTCCATTCAATATAACCACACAATGACAGTGCAGCAGGGAGACAGCCTATGCAAACACAGTCTGAAGAAAGCATTGACCAAATGAACAAGAATGCAGACAATTATAGACTGACAGCAGCTGCACATTGTGTGCTGAGATGATGCATGGGTTTTGATATACTTATATATATATATATATCAGATATATCTGGATATACATGATGTAAAGGGGGCACAGTAGTGTAGTAACAGCAGCAGCTTTGTGGTGCAAAATTCAAAACTGAAATATGGATTTTACACGTACTAGTATATGGATACGTATGTCATAACACATATATACACATCAGCACATCACTGGACTGTCAAAGCAGACATGAAGTACTGGTTTTATTTATCAAAAGGAACCCCCAGGTGGCTGGCTCACATGCCTCCTGGCGTCTACAGTATTTTACCAAGAAACTGGAAATGATAGCAGTGAAAGTATCTGGTCTTACATTACTGGGAGCACAGAACATGTCACAAACACCCACATGTGCTGAACATGGAGAACTTCATTGTCATAGTACAGGTCCCAGTTTCACTAAAAAACTTAAGTCAGTTTCCTGGCTTAGTTGAGTAGGATTTCCATGAGAGTGCTGTAACAATGTGCCAGATAGGGTAAGATGTGACCATGTAACCATGGTAATTAAGTTCTTAGCCAAGGAACCTGACTTAATTTTTTTTTGTGAAACCGGGGCCAGGTAGTCCTCGTAACCCCTAGAATGTGAATTGTTTCAATGTTGGTTATATTCAGATGGTATATATATTGGATGCACTGTCATGGGCAATGACAAACATTTGGATTTATGGCAGTATGATTATAAATATATAGGAGTCTTTTAGTATGTGGATCACGATACAAGATGGATAATTTGAAGCAACACCAATGAGTTGAGATATTGTCTGGAATTCACTAGAAAACAAGTTTTCACTGCAACTGGATGACTTTGTTGCTCAGTTTCCCCCCCCCCCCAAGTTTTGTCACACTCCTGGACTGGCCTATCTCTGCACCTCACAATTCATACATTTTAATTGTCATAAATTTGATTAGGGGAAACCATTTACATTTTTCTACAAATGTGGCAACACCCTTCAGATTTTTTTTAAATTTCCTATCACTGATTAGATTTTAATTAACATATATAGCATTTAGTTTAAGGAGAGCATGGGAAGTAGACATATAAGCCAGCTGATTACTGTCATGCTCAGGACCCTTTTCACATGAAGCAGTACACTTTAGGATACATTCTGTACTATAACACTTAGACTGGACATGTCCTTACTGGTTATTGTCAAACACGTTGTACTGGCTTTAACTAGCGTGATTCCATCCCACTGTTTGTGCAGAAGTTGATCAATTGGCCATGTGTGCGTGAGCACAGGGGTCGTGTTTAGGTGACCCCCTCATCTAAAGTTCGTACAGTTAAGTGGTTTAAGTTCTCTCAAAGTGGACTGGTACAGACACTATTGCTCAAGTATACCACTCAATATGAAAAGGCCTTCAAATTTCTTCAATTCATTGCTGGTGATTTACTCACCATCTGCAGTATAGCCCAAAGTGGACATCTAAAAGTATATCTTACATATTGCAAAAAGTTTTTATCGTATAGTTTTCTCTTTATTCAATTCAGTTGCCATTGAAGTTATACTGAAGAGATAAAAGGTGACTTTTGCCACAGCTTTTAAAAAAGATGCTTACTTTTTCAATCAGGTTTTCCTAGAAATAATTGGTTTGTTCACTGCCTTCAATAAGGGACCAAATGCCATTT